ATATGTACTTGATCATTTTGTGAATCAACAACAACAACATCTAGTTGATTGTCCTTATCAAAATAACCAACAGTAATATAATATGGTCGAGAATTGGAGTTTATTGAGAATGTAATTTGTGCTGCAAATGTACCATCTTCATAGCCAAAAAATATACCAATCTTGCCAGTACCATAATGTGTGACTATTATATCGAGATAATTATCATTATTTAAGTCTCCAACAGCAATAGAAGATGGATTCGAGTTCAGAGTAGTTGTATATATTTTTTGGTTTGCAAATGTTCCATTACCGTACCCAAGAAAAATACCAATATTATCTGTACCATAATTAGCCACAGCAATATCTGATCGATTATCTTTATTGAAATCACCAACCACTAATGCATATGGATGAGAATCATAACCAGTAGAATAAGTTATTTGTTCTTGAAAAGATCCATTACCATTTCCAAGAAGAATACCAATATTATTAGTATCATAGTTAGCTACAACAATATCCGTTTGATTATCATTATTGAAATCACCAACAGTAATAAAAAATGGACGAGAAGAATTAAGTGAAAATATTATTTGATTAGAAAACGTTCCATTTTGATTTCCTAAAAATACTCCAATATTATTGGTACCATAATTAGCAACAGCAATATCTAAATAATTATCATTATTGAAATCATTAACAACAATTGAATAAGGACGAGAGTCGAATCCAGTTGGATATATTTGTTGATTTGTAAAATTTTCATTGTCTTGTGAAAAGAATATGCCAACAGTATTTGTACCAGAATTGGCTATAACAATATCCATTTGATGATCATTATTAAAATCACCGACAGCAACAGATCGTGGTTGTGAACTGGAGACAATTGAACTTTTCATCATTCGTTTAAAGGTAAATTCACACGTTTCCTCTAAAAATACAGTTTTTAATGAATTAAACATAAATGATCGATCTTCATCTATTTATCAATTACATTGCTTCACTAATAGAAAAGTTAGATGAAAATGAGCAACATAGACATTTCGATGCTAGCTTATAGAATCAAATAGATTCTATCATTATTTGGAACTTCCATTTGAAAGGAATGGTGATTTCAGTTGAGAGTCAATGAGAGGTACAGAAAAACTTTCCTGATCTTTTAAGTCTCCACTTCCTCACAACAGATTTACCAGTAAGAGTGGTCTACATGAACTAAAACTTTCAGAAGTGAGTTATCCTATTGAGAAACGTCATGTTTTACGAACTGCTCGAAAATCGCCCACTGAACGCGGTTGTTCTGCTTGATTTTTGAACATCTCACTGAATGAATACTTTACACTCTTAGAAAGTTGTTAGATGTCAGTCGGAATCGCGCTGGCTTTCTAATGTAAGCTTGCTCGTGACGCCTGTTTTAGTCACATAGGCTGTTTTGCTTAGTTTTCTAGTTTGATTATTTAGTAAAGATGAGGCCACAAAAATAGTCATCAGTATGAAGACTTTACCAATAGGAAAAAGTGTGCCGCCATCTGCCAAAATATACTGTGGCATATTAAAATCGACTTTTTTTTTAGAAGCAATCGACCTCATCAAGATAGAAAATATTAATTTAATAGAAAAACTATAAAAGATTTGATGAAAAAGTAGTATAAGCTCTTCGAATCATCAGTTTTTAATGAACCACAATTAACCGTCGATTCAGATGAAAACCTGCAGCATCATATATCAAACTAGACCGAACTTTCGGCTTATTTATAGTCCATCTATGACCTTCAAGAGAGTTCCTATAACTTCGTCAGTATAAAAAAGTACAGACCTTGGGGCAGCTTCAAGCTGAAGCCAATACCTGTGCGTAGTTTTCTTTTCGAACAGAATTTCGTAATTCGCTTACATTCATTTTCACATAAATCAACGATAAAAAGTTTTGATCGAACAAAGATTTACTCTCATAGAGATCTTTCAAACAAAAAACGATTTTCGTTATATTTTGAATCGAGTCCGAGGACTTTCAATTTTTCTTATTGAAAAACATGTTCTGAGGAAAACGGTGAATAAATTGTTGACACGGATGTTTTCATTAAAAATTAGAAAAAAAACATTAAAATAGCATATTCATGATAAGTTAAGTGAAATTTTCAAAAATACGTAACAGATGACGTAAGCTAGCGCTATCTGTCACACTTAAATAGCATAAGAATGTGTATATTCATATGATAATGCAAATAAAAAGATAGTCTTAGCGAAACTAAAAAGTTAAAAAAAAACACAAAACTTGGCCCTTTTCCGAATAGTTATCTATATTCTGAGAGACGAAACTTCGCTGCATATTCCTATGATGGAAACACAACTTTGCTTTTTTTTTCGAAAAATGAATTTTCTAAGAGGATCGGTTAAAATTGTTCAAGATCATTTACGATGTTTTGAGAATAAAGCCAAATGATGATATTGATTGTCTTATGAGAAGCTGATTGAATAAACAGTTCAAAGTAAATGTTGACTTCTACTAAAATTGATTTTTATTTAAAATAAATATATTTGAGACAAAGAATCTTTTTTTGCAAGCTTAATCGACATTTCAATAATCATATAATTTATTAAAATAAAAAATGAGAAACATACTTGGTTTGGGTGAAGTCAAACAAACTGTCAGCACTCCAACAATAATTGCTATGCTGGTGAATATTCCAAACAAACAAACATGCATGGCAGTGAATTTTACGTACGAAGAAGACCTTTTTATCAAAGAAGAAATGTTGATCCGAATGAAATTAATATTAACATTAAAAAAAAGCATACTGTTGTTCGACATTTTCCTTGGAGTTTTCTTGATTATCAATATTCTTCGTTTTATGTCTCTGATGAGACATGCTTGACATATTAATGAGTGCATCATTACGACGCTGTTCGTCCGATGGGAGTTCAGTATCCATTAAATGTACGTCAATCTTTAGTGAAGAAAATTAAAGAATATAATCAGAAAATAACTGATGAATAAAATCTAATCATTAAAAAGAAAACTCTCGATATAATAATGTTGCCTTACTCAAGAATTAAGTCGTTAAAGGATTCAATGTATATTTGCACTTGTATATTCATGTAAAAGTTAACACATTCAGCAGACGATAAAAAACTTTGAGGATGAGATTTGTATCATTAAGTAAACTCTATGTAGAGTAGACAAAATCTGAAATGATTTATTCCTTTTGTTGCTTTCTTCCTAAGTTATAGCCATTCTCTAAGTTTTTGACTTTGTGCATAATACATCAAGAAAAAATCCATGTTAAAATTTTGATCTAAAATTTTTCCCATAAAGAGCTATTGTAACTTCCATAATACGCCAAAAATTTTGACTATGACGAACATTGTCTTCCAATGACAACAAATATACAAGAAAACTGAATTTTGTCTGAATCTCTGTTAAAATATGTTCATTGTTTGAGAGTCTATTATTTCAAGAAGAAAACACATTTGTCCTAGCTGAAACTTGCGGTACAATGAAAGAGGTCATAATATGTCTTCATGGAAAAAACCTTCAGGTCAAAATTGAGACATGAATTTTTTCTTGATTTACAATGTATCAACTCATAAATTCAGTAGAAATGGTCATAACTCGAAAAGAAAGCAATAAAGGGAAGACTGATTATTGGTTTTGTCTACTTTCAATGGACTCTATGTAATGACACAAATCTCGTTTCAAAAGTTTTTCATCATCTAAAGACGTTTCCCTCCTTAATAACAGCTTCACAGTTGATCATCTTTCACTATTAGAGAAAAGTTTAATCATTTAAACCAGATTAACTTCTCTGTGGTAAATGAATAACTAATGAATGTTAGATTTTCGATTCTTTTTTTTTCTCGTACTGGCTCTGTAATTCCTTCTCCGTAATTTATGTTTTCTGTTAAGAGCAATTATTAGAAATAAGTAAACTTATTTCTGATATCACAGAAGTCAGTTGAATCATTAAAAGAAAAAAATTCAGATAATCTCATAGGTTTAAGATTAAATAGTCTTGATAATTTTTCCCAGAGAAACAGATTAATAAAATGAAAAGAAGAGAAAAATACTGTTAAATGAAGTTTTGAAGTAGACATCATAATTCAAACTAGATTTACAATTTATAATTAGAATCGTATTTAACAGATTTATGCTGTGAAAATTTCTTTCTTCGAACGATGTATAAACTATGTTCTTATTATTATCTACAGGGTGGGCCAAAAGTCGCTTTACCGTACAAAAAATTGAATATCTTCATTATGGCTCGAGTAAACGAGCTGATTTTTTTATCAATGATAGAGGCATGTTTAAGTCTTATATCCATAAAGACATGCCTAGATAGACCCTTTGTTAAGTATCACTATTGATCTGAATAAAAAAAATTCTACTTTTTCGTAGATAGAGAGAAAAGCAGTATACTTAACAAAGGATCTTTCTAGGTATGTCTGTATGAATATAAGGTTTAAACATGCCTCTATCATTGATAAAAAAAATCAGCTCATTTGCTCGAGCCGTAATGAAGATATTCAGTTTTTTGTACGATAATGCGACTTTTGGCCAATTCTGTACTATAATTTTATACTAAATAACAACAAGAAACGTATAATTATGTTTGTAATTATTTCGACAAACATTAGTTATTTATATCAACTGTTTTTTTCAATAATTGATCCTTTATATGTAGTTCCTTGAAATCTGTAAATGATTCAAACTTTGTTTCATTTAATTAAAAGAAATTAATATACACCTGTTTATTGTACACATTGTATTGTACAGATCAACGATTTTTTAAATTATGCTTCTTATGATGTTTGATTTTCGTATTAAATGCACGCTATGCTTGACTGGGACTTATTTATTTCGGTTTTTGCTTTTAGTAACGCATAAATTTACTTTTCGTAATTATCGCATTTGCACATGATGGACGGCCTTCGTTTAAATCGATAGTCTACCGACAAATCGAGATGAATCATCGATTCATTATCAAATCATGAGCGTTAATGTATTTTGATTGGTCAATTTGAATCGATTATTTCTCGGTAGAAACACTTTTTTGGAAAAAACTAAAAGCACAGTTAGATAGAGAAAAGTTTTCTCTATCGNTCGAATACGTTGTTGTTCGCTTAAAAGTTCCATCATCATTACCAGTTAGTAAAAGTAAACTATTATCATTAAAATCATTAACTAATAAATCTAATCGATCATCATTGTTAAAATCATAAATAACAATCGAAGATGAACGGGAATCTTTTTCAACAAGATAATTCATTTGTCTTACTGATGGTTTTATAAAATATTGACTAAGTATAAGTACATTATTAGTACCATAGGTGGCTATAACAATATCTGATTGATTGTCTTTATTAAAATCTGCTACAGCAACAAAGACTGGACGAGATTCATTTATTCCATCATACGTTGTTGTAACAAATGTTCTATTATCATATTGCAGAAGAATATGTACTTGATCGTTTTCTGAATCAACAACAACAATATCTAGTTGATTGTCCTTATCAAAATAACCAAGAGTAATATAATATGGATGAGATTTGGAACTTATTAAGAACGTAGTTTGTTTTGCAAATGTACCATCATCATAACCAAAAAATATACCAATCTTGCCAGTACCATAATGTGTGACTATAATATCGAGATTATTATCATTATTTATATCTCCAACAGTGATCGAAGATGGTTTCGAATTAAGAGTAGTTGTATAAGTTTTTTGACTTGCAAATGTCCCATTACCATATCCAAGAAAAATACCAATATTGTCAGTACCATAATTAGCCACAGCAATATCTAATTGATTATCTTTGTTGAAATCACTAACCACTAATGCATATGGAAAAGAATCATAACCAGTAGAATAAGTTATTTGATCTTGAAATGATCCATCACCATTTCCAAGAAGGATACTAACAGTATCAGAATCAGGGTTAGCTACAACAATATCCGTTTGATTATCATTATTGAAATCACCAACAGTAATGAAAAATGGACGAGAAGAATTAAGTGAAAATACACTTTGATTAGCAAATTTTCCATTTTTATTTCCTAAAAATACTCCAATATTATTGGTACCATAATTAGCAACAGCAATATCTAAATAATTATCATTATTAAAATCATTAACAACCAACGAATAAGGACGAGAGTCGAATCCAGTTGGATATATTTGTTGATTTGTAAATGTTTCATTGTCTTGTGCAAGAAATATTCCAATACTATTTGTACCAGAATTTGCTACAACAAAATCCATTTGATGATCATGATTAAAATCACCAACAGCAATTGATCGTGGTTGTGAACTAGAAACAATTGAACTTTTCATCATTCGTTTAAAAGTAAATTCACACGATGCCTCTAAAAAGACAATTTACAATGAATTAAAAATCAATGCTTGATCATCATCCATTTATCAATTACATTGTTTCATTAATGTAAAAGTTAGATGAAAATGAACAATATAAACAATACCAATGCTAGTATATAGAGTAAAATAAATTCTATAATTATTTTGATCTTTCATTTGAAAGAATTAATGAGTAGAGTTGATAGTCAATTGAAAGCACACGAATATTTTCTTGATATTTTAAGCCTCCTGTCCCTCCTCACAATAGATTTAATACTTAGAATGCTCGATTTAGACTGAAATTGTTCAGAATAAATGATTCTAGTAAGCAACTCCATGTTGTTCAAATCGTTCGAAAAATGTCAGTTAAACGTAGTTCTTCTGCTTGCTTTGTCTTTTATATCTCACTCTATGAATATTTTTAAAATTCTTAGAAGAATGTTAGATGTCAGTCGAAATAGCATCTTCCTATACATGTGAGCGCGTTCATACCGTCTGTCTAGTGGCGTAACGAGAATAGAACGAGAACGGGCCCAGCCATACCACTCCAGGATTCGAGACTTTTTTTTTCATAAAATATTGAAAGAATTCTTGTGAAATAACCTCTTCAGTAATTCTAAGTATTCAAGAAAACATAGAAGTGAGTTAAACAATAAATCTGATCTATTCACAACAATGTGGGAGTTAAAACTGTTTTTTAAAAAGTTGATAGTTGAAAAAAATGACAAAAAGTTAAAACAGTCATAACTTAGGTTATAACTATCAATCATATTAACTCGATTAACTTTTTGAAGCTTTGAGTAGATTTAATTAAGATTGAAATCATAATTCTTTTGATTTAATTAATATGTTTGATAGAATAAATTAAAATATATGCATCTCATTGTTCTTTACTTTAAAAACTTATGAAGAAAGCTTCTAAAATGATTCAGAGCTTTTGAGTTGATATTTTGTCTATAATAAGTAGGATCCGATGAGACTAGAAAAAGCCGAAAAGGATAAATATCCATAGGTTTTTCTTCTCGAATTATGGTTATTTTACTACGTGTACCATCTATAACAAGAGATTTACCGAAAAAATCAAGTTAAAGAATTTCGATCTGAAATTTTGCCCACATGCAGATCTTGTGATCCTTATAGTAGTTTAAAAGTCTCAAACAAAATGAATGTGCCTTTCTCAACATAATGAGTTTTCAAGAAAATTCTTCCATGTTACAGACATGTCAAAACAAATCGGGGTTTCATGTCAACGCAATATTTCAAGTAAAAAGCGTTCATTTTGTCTGAGACTTTTACGTTACTATAAGAACCACAAGATCTGCATGTGGACAAAATTTCAGATCAAAATTCTATAATTTGAGTTTTTCGATAAGTTCCTTATCATGGATGATAAACCCAGTAAAATAGCCTTAACTCAAGAAGAAAAACCTATGGACCTTTATCCTTTTAGGCTTTTCTAGTCTGATCGGGTACTACTTATAGGCAAAATATCAGCTCAAAAACTCTGAATCACTTCGGGTGGTTTTCTCTTTAGTATTTATAGATTATTCTCTGAGTGCTATTTCATGTATTCATCTATAAGTTACATTTCCTTGTATTTATATGTCAAGCACGAATACACGTGTAACACAATATATAGTTTTCGTTACATGATAAATGGGATGGCAGGAATTTCGTCAATATGAGAATAAATTAAACGTAGATGGAAAGTTTCTATCGCATACATTAGTAGATTGTGTTCATCTATTTCATGGCCATAAGTTTCATGTATTGTTCTAGATAATCATTGTTTGAACAAGA